TAATCAGTCTGAAGTGCATGGTTCAGTTAGGAATCACTGATGCTGTATCATGCTCTGTGATACCTACCTAACTTACCCTTTAGAGGAGAGAAATCTTTTGTCCTTCATAGATATACATTCACACACAAAGTAGTTTAGCTTGGACTGCCATAATTTTGCTGGCATACTGTCTCATTGCTCAGGGAATGAGGTATCTGTGCATGGTGTCTTTTCTCTCAACTGACATCAGTTGTGATCTGTGACAGCACTCAGAGTTGGTGGATCCTTTGATCTTCCTTGATAAAATACATTAGAGACAGCATAGTTTAGCAAGCAGAATACTTCAGAATAAATGTAGGCACATCAGTAATGCTGTAAATAGAGAGGGATGTATATGGGGAGGAAGATGCTCATTGGTATAAAAGATTTTTCTGATGGACAGCAGTAAGGAAACAATCCGTTTTGCCAATGGGTTGCAGAACAAATGGAGCTGCTTCTTGTGTTGACCTTGAAGTGTTGTTGGGATTAGGTGTGGCAGGGTAATTTCTTGCATCACTGTTGCTTCTGTTGGTTAGATTTGAATATTACGTTGTTGTGTTTGGGATTCAGATAATAACCTTTTATTCTCTCTGCAGCAAATGTATTGATTGCAGAACCTACAGCAGCACACTTCTGTTTCTAGTGTTACATAAAGCTACTCTAAGAAAAGGTGGCATTAGTTCTAGAGAATTCCTTTATTGTTGGAAATTGTGTTAATAGTTTTTCAGATTGAAGCGCTGCTGATGCAAGTGCTATTTCGATAAAAGTAAACTGTGAAATGAATTCATTCTGCACAGTGAGTTGTCTGAAGTATGGAAAGAAGCCTGTGTGCTCTCTTAGCAGTGGTTTAGGTGCAGCGCTGGGTGCTTTCACTCTGAAAAATAGCTTCCACAAGGTGGCGATCTGAATATGTGACATGCAGAGGTTGAAGTACAATTCATATGTAACCAAGTGGATTTCCTGAGTAACGGAGTAATGGTTTTAATTCTGTTATCTCTTAATATGGGTAAGTGTAGTAAAAAAAAATAACTCTTGGTTTAAACAATGGTGGATTGAGTCTGAGCTTAAAACTGCCTTTTGCTTAAGCTTTCTAGTGCCTTGTGCATGTCCTGTGCACAATTACTCAGTGCTGCTGTGCAGGAAGAAGTGAGGTCTGCCTTCTGCTTTAGTAACAGGCTGAAAAGGGAGGAACTTGGAGCTCACAAATGCTGTTTCGGGGTCTCAGATGCACTTTGGCAGAGAACAGGAAATAGTGAAGCTTGGAGATGAGCAATAAAACTGGATGAAATCAGAGTTTTACCCTCTGAAAGTTAAATGCATATCTAGAACTGACCTTTGGCTGTGTAAATCAGAGCAAAGTAGTAACTGAAAGTAGTACTTTATTCTGGGAATTCTTGTAACTGATCTTGGGAATACCTTCCATTTCAGTGGCTTTTTCAGTGGCTACCTGTTCACTGTGTAATAAATAAACCTGTGTGATTTCTGCAAAGTGTTATGAGTTTAATTTGCTTGACTATTTCTTGGTAATTCCCAGAGCATTTGCAATTAGTCTGCTACTTGCACACATACCCACTTGATTTATAATATCAATGGCAGCATTTTTGTTTTTCCTAGTTTGGGTCAGTTATTTATTAGTCTTGGACATGAAAGGTAGCAGAGGAGGGTGGCAAAGAGAAAGGGCTGACAGCATGGAAGCAGAAAACCAGCATGTGTGTGATCAAAAATATTTGTCAAGTGGAGAAAACTGGAAGGAGCTGAGCCTGCAGACTGGGAAAAGAGGATCACCTCTTGTGCAGAGGAACTGGGCATGGGAAGCAGCTTTGATATGTGGACCCTGAGAGAATGAGGCCAGCTCATGGGCTTCAGGCTTAAAGGGGATGACAGTGATGCCTGGGTGGTTTAGAGGGGAGAGCTAACAGCAGGTAATAGCATGGGAGCCAACATGGGAGTCTTCCCAGGGCTCAGATGTCTGTTTGCCATGCTCAGGTCAGACTCTGACTTAGAACTTTGGCTTGGAGACCTGGATTTAGAGGGTTTACGATGTGACTTGGGATGATGAGTTAATAAAATGGCCAGAGTGGAGCTGAATAAAAAGTGGCAACACTTTATTCCTCCTGCAGTATAAACAGAGGCTGTGCCTGCAGTCAGATGGGACATGGGAGATAAGAGACCAAAAGCAGGACATGAACCATGTGGTTTCACAGGGTTCGTCACCAATGTTGTTGGTTAATAACTGGTTTCGTAATTTGCAGAGTTCAATATTGTGGTCAGGTTAATAGCTTCTATCATCTGTTTTCTTTTTAGGGGTGTTAACGAGGAAGAGGGTGTTCTTAAAACCAACAAGCAAGTTTACTCCCTGCTGCTGCGTGCAACTGCTAACAAAAGCCTGACGCTGCTGGAACGAACTGAGGTCATCTCAAATTTACTGGACCAGCTGGCCCAAAATCCTGAGGCCAGCAGTGGAGGAAGCCAGTGACTGAGATTCTGCAAAACAGCAGAAAGTGCCTTGCTGTGCATGGGATCAGGGTTTTTTTCCCCATGTGATCATTGTATTTATTGCAGGTGATAATATCACCGAGGTCGTTACGTTGTGCATCAGGGAGAGAGCAGGAATTCACTTTTATCCTCTCTCAAGGTTACCAGCCTTTCTTTGCTGGAAATGCCAGATGGGGGTTCTGGATGTAAATGTAACAGTTCATGTTGGAGAAATTCACTGTTTTTGTCTTCTAGAGAGTGGGCTTTGCAGTGACATAAATGTTTGGCATAAAACTGTAGTATCGCAGTCACTCTGGTTTGGCATTTAATGGAATGTATTTTGTAAGCAAGACTTTGTCAGAACAGCTGAACCAGAAACAGGAACCCGAGTTGTATGAGAAGATTTCTGTGGAATACCTGGACACAGGAACACAGCACCTGCATTAGGTGCTGTCCTGCACAAAAATGTGTGCCTTTCTAGCTTGGATGCAAGACTCCTGCCAATACCAGCCATCCCTTTACCCCAGCAAGTGAATGGGGTTTAGCTGGGTTCGAATTGGCTGAGAATAGTATTATGTTTTTCAGACTTGAAACTGTGAATAAATGAGAGCATATTTTTAAATTAAAAATTTATTTATTAAATATAAGCTCGTGCATCAGTCCACCTTGTTCTTATTGGCTATGGCTGTCCTGACACTCCTCAGAGAAGCAATTTGCCAAGCAGAATTAAAACTATTTGAAAGGCAGTGGGGGCTGGAGCAAATTCTGTAGCATCAGGCCCAACAACTGAGTGTAGCCTTCATCTCAGCAGGTGAGACTTGGCTTTTCAGAAATAAGTATTATTTAGATTTCAAAAATAAAACACCTTGTGTCTTAATATTCTTCTACAAATAAATGTGGTTCGTTGTATAATAACAGTATAAACCACACTATGTATGGGTATTAACAGTTTTTACATATATTTCTGTTTTGGGGTTTTTTTTATAACTCCATGTTTGCACACAAGTAGTGAGTACTCTTTAGGCTGCTTGTTTTGAGGAGGTGAGATGCAGAATTCTGCTTTTTTTAGCCCGAAAACCCCATTTTGTAGCAGCTTCTGCCATGACAATTTGAACATGGTTTTACAAGTGCATCCTTAGATCTATCTCCAGAAGGACCTGATCTTTCTGATGCAGTACAAAGGCACCTGAGGAGCAAAGGCACCTTGTGAAAGGTTGCAAGAGGACAGACTTTAGAAGTATCAGTTCTGTTGCATCTGACTTTGAGTGACTGATCTAGAAAAGGAGGCAGAGCAGGCCCTTAAGGTTGGGAGGCAGCAGAGGAAGAAAGAGGTTAGAGGGGCAGGAGGCAGCTGAAACAACAAAATAATAAAAAGGAAAAAAGACAGGAAAAGGAAGAAGGTCAACAATTGTGTAATTCTTCTCCCCTTGGGGCATGTCTACAGGGTCCTGAAGCTACATCCAGTTACCAGAGTGTAGTGTCCTACAGAATGCTGTTCTTCAATGAAGTATTCCTCCCTCCGATTGTTTTCTTCCAACAATCAGAACACTCCTGAAATGCTGTTTCATCTCAGGAAATTGAGCTGTTTCACAAAGCAAAGTGGTTGTCTTGTGCCCAGCCTGGCTTGTGAATCTGAAATTACTTCCATTTATATTAACATAATTGGGCTCAGATTAACTCTTGTTCTGGGTATGGAACACTTTACTTAACTGGGAATTCAGGCCACAGTCTCAGAATTAAGCTACCAGAAACTTACAGCAATGCTAACAGCATGAATGACTTCCATGAGGATTATAATGGAGTATATTATGATTTAAATATTCTGTGAATTTCTTAGCATTAGTTCTAAATAGGATTATTTTTTTTTCCTTTTACAGAGAAACAAAGCATAAACCACATCCCAAACAGACAACTCCAACACTATTATTAACCAAGATAAGTCAGTTTACTTCTCTGTTAATAAATCTTCTTTATAGGAACAGAAACCCAAACTTATTAAGACCCTGTACTGTAAGGACATTTAGTGGCAACAGCTGACTTGCAAGAATTGTTCTCTCCTGAGAATGTACACTCATCATTTGAATATAAATATTTGAAAAGCAGAACAATGAACAAGCTTTACAACAGAAGTTTCTTAATTGTAAGTGTGCTTTTCTTCCATAAAAGAAAAAGATGTGTGTGCAAAGCTTACCAGACAGAAACAAAATCCTTACCTGCTGTGCTAGGAGATACCTGAGGAGATACATTTATTCCACTACTCTGATGCAGATTAGCCTCTCACAACTAGTTTTCAAGGACTGTCCACATAAAATATGACACTGCACAAATGAGAAAACAGGGAATAGCTGGAAGCTTGAGAACATGCTGGCCAAAATCTGTATTTCTCAGCTATTTAGATGCAAGCTTCTCCAACCAGGCACTGACAAGGGCAGTGTTGCAGAGCCCTGAAAAACACTTTCTTGCAGGTCTACGAAACAGGAAAACCTTCTGCAGCATCATATTCACCTTCAAATGCACGCTGTGCTCTTCAAGCAGTTGTGTGAGTGAAGTGCCTTTTGGATCCCAGCAGCAAGGTCCTGGGGAGTGGGAGCCTCTGGGGTGCAGGTAACAGGGACCCCTGCCCCTTCCAGGGCTTCAGCAGTCGTTGGGCCAATGGCAGCAAACTGAAATCATGGTGTTCAGGGTTACATTGGGGTAGGCAGCTGTGGTATCAGCTCCTGACTAATTAGGTACATTTCTGTCCTTCTCTGCTGACACTGCCAGTGTGTCAGCACAGCTGAGCTTACAAAACTGAACTGCCCATCTCAGGTTGAAGATTCTTAGTATTAAAACCTGCCCATCAGTTGAGCTGCTCAGAAATGACATGGGACAGATTATTGTTTCTCTCACCATTACAAACATTCAAAGCTCTTAGTCCCACCAAACAGGAACAGCAAGAGGAATTGTTTAAGCCTCAGGCTGTAACTGCTGATCCAAGCAACAACTACTCACCCTTTTCATATCACTAAGAGAAAATAAAGCCTGTATCCAATGGAGACTACTAGGTATGTTGTTTGTGGAAAAAAATTCTAGGTGAAAACAATTACTTTTTTTTTAAAGAAAGCTCTCAGGTACCTAATAACATCTATATTTGCTATCTATGCCTTTGCTATAACCTATTTTTTTCAGAGAAACAAACACAAATGAGGACATGAAGGTTTGTAATGGGTGTAACAGCTTTCCTATCTCTCACTTGCCTACCCCAAACTTACTCTTTATTGTATTTTACCACTGTTAAAGAGAAGATACCTGGATTTGGTTGATAAAATTCCCCGAAAGCTTCTGGATGTGCTGGAGGCAAAATCTGACACCAGATGGACTGAAGAACACAATGCTGGCTGGAATTCCCTGAGGAAAATTAAGCACAAGTTGGCACAAATTAACCCCTCTCCCTGCAGTGTACCAGTACACTTCCACATCAATCATGGAATCATAGAACTGTTCAGGTTGGAAAAGCCCTTTGGGATAACTGAATCCAACCATCATCCCTACCCTACAAAGTTCTCCCCTAAACCATCTCCACCAACACCACATAAGAATGACCCTTAAACACACCCAGGGATGGTGACTCAACCACCTCCCTGGGCAGCCTGTTCCAGTGTCTGACCACTCCTTCTGTGAAAAATTGTTCCTAATGTGCAGTCTAAACCTCCCCTGTTGCAGCTTGAAGCCCTTCCCTCTTGTTCTGTTGCTAATTACCTGTGAGAAGAGACCAGCACCAGCCTCTCTACAATGACCTTTCAGGTAGTTGTAGAGACTGATAAGGTCTCCCCTCAGCCTCCTCTTCCTCAAACTAAACATTCCCAGCTCCTTCAAGCCTTCTTCGTAAGATTTATTCTCTAGGCCCTTCACCAGCTTTGTTGCCCTCCTTTGTACTTGCTCCAGCACCTCAAGATCTCTCTTGAATTGAGGTGCCCAAAACTGGACACAATATCCCCATAGCTGTCTCTGTGTGGACATTAAGTGGTTTTACTGATGTGTAGCAGCAGATAAGCCAACAGAAAGGGTCTGGTGCAGACAGGACGTGCTACCACAGAACGCTGAAACTCAGGTATGACTCTAAGCAAACACCTGGTCACACAGTGCTTGGTGATAAGTGTAGTGAAAGGAGTCTGGAGCTGGATTCATGCTCCTGTTTAGCATGAAAACTCAGCAGGTTATTTCCTTAAATCCATCCCCACCCCCCTTGTTTCTGCATGTATTCTTCAGTTCCCAGCTCATGTGGTTTATGTGAAGTTCTTCCTGCCCTGAGATGCTTTGGCAGAGATGAGGTGATGCCTTAAAACCACAGACACCCAGAAGGGCTTTCTCTCCCAGAACAAGCCTGCCTTAAGAAAGCAGCAGCAACCTTCTGCAGCCAAAAGAAAACTCTGCAAAATGCTGTCTGGAGTGAAGGTCCCAAGCTCTTGAGCTGCAGACCCAAAGCATGTGGTTTACTGTCTGACCAGAAAGAGACACTGGGACTGCATCTGTAATTTTACAGTGTGTGACTTGGCAGGCAGCCCCAGATGCTGGAGGCCAGACTGACAGCAGCAGGAGAGCTGCTCACTGCCTCCCAAAGTGCTAAACACTTGTCATGTTATGTCAGCTCTCCCTACACTAAACAGATCACCACAATATCATCAGTTAGGAACAACTGAACAGCACCTGAGAGACAGCTTCTTAACAGCTTTACACTGAAACTCACATCTAATTGCAGCAAGCAAGGAGTTCCATAAAAAGAGCTCAGGAAGTCACCAAATGTGTATGTGCTATTGACTCACTTTTATATCTGCTGTAAACCAAATACTGTGGGGATTAGAACTGCAATTCCCACCTAGAACCCTAGGGAACTACAATGGATCAGTCAGACTTGCCACGTCATAACCTTTTAGGACCTCTTTAAACTTTAAAATCAATATGTAATTTAACAGACATTAATGCACAGTTTACAAAGGGTGCAACATGCTCAAGGAGGCCACGTTCTGTAAGAAGGAAAGCCTGTATTTTGAATACAATTATCACACGGGCTTCTAGAAATTGAATATTCAGAAGGCCAGTCTTGAAAAGAGAAAAGCAATTATCAGTACCTTCAGATCTTTTACTAAGCACTGATTCTTGCTTAGTGTCATTTACTAGGTAGTTCTAAAGAGAGAAAACCATTAATAATTCCAGCAAATATATCTCAATATACTTATCAACTCCATGTCACTGGGAATTTTAACATTTTAAATGATTTCATGAATACATTCATAGATTAGATAATTGGAGAAGAAACACTGAAACTAGGCAGGGCAGATTACTGCTGGATGGATTCTGATTTGTAATATACAGAAAGATGTCCAGTGATATTTCAAATCCACTAATAAAAATTAATAATAAAGCTGTTCAATGAATATCCTCACTAACTGTAATTTCTGACATGGCATTACTGAAAAAGCAGTTTTGTTCGGCTCAAGTGAACAGACTGAGTATGTAATGATATATGCAGTTATTTCCCAGAAATTCTGAAACATACATGTATTTTGAAAGTCAGACAAAGTACAATTGTCATAACAAATAACTGAGGGGCTCACTCTCTATCTGAAACTTTTGCTAAAGGATTTTCTTTGTAGTCAACAAGGAAATAAATCAAAAAGCCTATGCGAGATATTCTTGTATCACCACAAATATACTTTACAGACAGATGGAAACAAAAAAAGGAGTATATTCTACTGTGTATTACCATACATCCCAAAAATTCTCAAATGACATCAGCATCCCATACCTGTTGTGAGAAATAACTGCTCAAAGATTCTTGCAGGTCACTGTGTTGGGTTGTTTGATAAACAGTCAGGCTTTCCAGGGGTATACCTGGCATCAAGACATACACTGATAAATACACAGGGTTTCATTAATTTATGTTATTTCAATTAAACACTCTCAATATACTAACTAGACTATTTCAGAAAACATTCTATGAAGCATCTGTAGGTATTCCCAGAATTGCAAGGCACACTAAAGCATCTGCAATCAGCAGATCTTGGAGCACACTGAAAAACTGGCTAATCTTGCCCCATTTCTGGGAATAAGTTTCTCACAGAAGAGAAGGCAAGTGAAGAACAAGGCAAATAACCCTGCTCACGTCCTGCCCCAGAGCTGTAGGCAGCAATCCAACCTCACAGTTTTTACTCTCATCCTTTAACTGCTAGCCAACAGAACAGCAAATTCAAGTTTTGCTTATTCAAAATTGGTTCACAAGCTTTAAATACAACTGTTCTCATAACTGACTAATTAAAATGAGGCTCTGAGGGAAGTTCAACCTTTTTCTCTAAGTACTGTAGGTAATACTTCTCTTTTCAGGGCTCCACAAGGAAAAAGAAGAGATGAGGAATTAGGCTTCTCTCCTGTAAATACACAAACAAGAACTTTAATTAACTTATGTCTTTATTAAGGAGTAAACATGACATTTAATACATTTTAAAGGTAGCAAATGCTGAACACTGCAGTAAATGCTGCATGCTCCATCACAGACACAGCCCTAAGAGAACTGCAAACATTTGCAGTGCAACTGCATCCACAATTCAGAGGACAGAGGCTACTTAGCATGTAAATTAAAAAATATTCTATAACAATAATATTAATACATTGGCTAAAAAGATCTTACCAAAGATAAACTGCATTTCTATTCCCCTTGCCAGCCCACAAAGCACAAGCACTGTGCAAGTTATCTCCTCCTCCTCAGAAACACAATCTTCCTCAGTTTTGTATTTAAAATCTCAGCAACACCTGACAGCTTGCTCTCTACAGAACAATTCCCAGACAAAAAAAGACAGAAATACCTCACTGGTAAGTTTTCATCTATCCAAAAGTCTTCATTTTCTTACATCCCTAAGGAAAAATTATTCTATGTCCACTACTCTATGTTCCAGAACGTGAAAGAGATTTTAAAATTATAAGATAAAACCCAAATATTTCAGCATGAATCCTCCTACAACTCACCTCAGTTAATTGGAATGTCAATGTGGTACCTGTGAAGAAACACTAATCCTTTCTAACTTGTGTTTACAAAGCACAAAAGAATTCCTTAATAGGCCTGAACAATCCAACAAGCAGTTGCCCTAATGGTATCCCCACTTCTGTAACCAACACAATTGTCACACTAACAAAACTGAAGAGTATTTGCCTTGGAAAGAGAATGAAGCCGGCTTGCTAGTCAAGGAGTGAATTCCTTTATTTACCCAATCACTTGAGTTGATGTGGGTACCACAGCACAGAAGGTGAGTAACAAAAGAATCATCACTGCTTCAGATTTGCTTTTTATTCTGACAGTAAATTGTAATGCTATTAAAAATGTAGAGCTGTTCTTTTCATTTACTTAGCATTTTATGCATAAACAAAAATAAATACATAAGGGGGAATGTGATGTAATTTAATCTGTACTTCAGAGATTCTTATTAACCACTTGACCAACTGAGAGGGCATAAATATGCACAGTCCAGTAAATCCCTGAGTCTGATGAGATGCATCAACAACAGGCAGCCTCCAATGACTGACATTCACTGGTTGCTTCTCAAAACTGAAGGGTATCCAAAGGCAGGCATTTTTGCAAGGATAATGGAAATGTTGAAGCATTGTGTTAATTTATATAGCCTGCTGGTGCTCTGCTAAGGAACTGCTCTCGGGATGATGCTCTGTGAAAGGCTGTGGAACACACAGGTCCCTGTGGTGGCCACCCAAAGCTGCTGCTGGCCCTGCACCCGACTCCTCCACTGGGGCCAGAAAGTGCAGTTCCCAGCCTGGCTCCCATGGTGACTGCCAGCCCCTCCCTGCAGGAGGGTGCAGGAAAAGCAGGGAAACAGCCACGGGATCAAGCCAGGAACAGCCATGGGATTGAACAGGGTCAGAAGGAACAGAGCCTGTGAACCAAGCAGTTCCCAAGGGAGGAGCTCCCCTGGACTGAGAAAATAACCAGGAGGAGGTTACTGGCAGTAACTGTGCAAGTCACAGCCTCACCACCCAGGAATTTTTCCACCCCTGGTACTCCACAGATTGTTTTCCTTAGACCTGATCCTAATTTTTTTTCACATTCATACAACAGAAGACACAAGTATGTTTCTTGTCTTCCTCCTCAAAAAACCCTCCTTCAAACTGGCAAACATTCATTCATGACCAGAAGCTGGTTTCCTAGCACTAAAAAATGAGCTAAAATCTGTCTTTGTTTTTAAAGTATCTGTTGAAGAGCATATATGGGATATTCTTCACTGATGGCATTTCTGTATTGAAATTTTGATTTTTAATTTTCAGAATTTATTATTTAATCTTGTGTTGGCAACTAACATTTTTATCATTAAATATTTCATATCGTTCAAATATTTTATTTGCCAGGGAATTACAGAACACTCTGCCCATAAAAAAACAACATTTGCCAGCTCCAATCAATTTTTATTTTACTCATAAATCTCTGCTACTACACAGCCTTTGCTAATCATCACTCTCTTTCATATCTAATGTTATGCTTAACAGTCAAAAATAACATGTCAGGGCTCTGGACATCATTCCCACTGCTGAAGCACCCAGCACCTTACTCAGCAAGTTCCTAAAGAGTGGTCAGCAGTGGGGCTTTTAGACCAGCAGATACAAAAATTCATCCAACATCTAGAATAATTGCACTGATTGTTCTTTGTTTCTCTGACTAGGAAGAGCCAAATGCAGCCTGTTCACCTTGACTGGCTGAAAACCACAGCTTTTCATGGCTTTGATCATTCTCTAGTCAACTCGTGGGCACTGCAAGAGCCTCTACATGAAGGTTTCTGCTTCCCTTTTTAAATTTAGGGCAGAAAGTCCTTCCGCAAACGACTTATCTTTGTATCGGACTGAAAGCTACCCTCTAATTTAACTATGGGCCTCCACTGTAGAGCTCCCTGCTGTCTCACATGAGTGGGGATGATCCCCAGGCTGTTTGAAAGTACAGGGAAGGGGCTGCCACCTAAGAGTTTCCTGCTGAGATCCTGAACCTTAGGTGGGATTGTCACCTGGTACAGAGGTTATTTTAGCAATGAGTTTCAGAGAGTGTGGGGACTAAGTCTGCCAACGTCTTCTGGTAACTGTTCCTCCCAGAGGATACACAGGTGAACACTTTGAAGGCAGCACATACCTCAGTGGTGCATCCCCAGGAACATCAGGTTTAATCACCACAAAACGGTTACATAGAATGTAAACCAGCATTTTAACTAACCCTTTCTGCAACTACTTCAAAACTACCCTCCTTTGGTACTGAAAACCAGATTCCTTTGAAATCACACATTCATTCTAAGGAAAGGAGTTCTACTTGTATGGCATGGTGAAAAATCCCCAGCATCAACTGGTTTGAAGCAAAATTATGAAACAATGGAAGGTAATTTAAATACTTACTTGAGCAAATATATTCAGCTAATTTTTCAGCATTTCCAGACTTTTCTCCTTGTGGAGTAAGGCCAATTTCTTCCACTATAATCAAAAGTATCAAAGAAAAACATTGCAATCAATGAAACAATTCAGATTTCTGCCACCAAAACATGGGCTGAAAGGGGAGACATAGCTTGATCCAAGCTCACAAATACTTTAAAAAGCAAAAAATAGAGCACCTGAAGTAGTAACAAAAATGAGTACTATTTTAGTAAACTAAAATCTACCTTGCTTTTTCGTTATGCGCATAAATATGTATTGCTTCAGATTAAAAACAAAGTCAAGACAAACAAAGCAGCTGACCCACTGAGGCCCATGAGAAGTGTATTGCTGACTTCATTGGCAAATGCCTCACAGGAACTCTGAGGGAACGAAGGGTCAGGACATCACACTCTGTATTGCCTCAGACAATCAAGTTTTAATCCCCATCATCCAATTTACTCTCCAAGGAGAAAGAAAAAAAAAAAAAGCCACATGCAAATTAAGAAATTCTTCACTAGAAAGGGGGTGAGACCCTGGCCCAGGCTGCCCAGGAAAGCTGTGGCTGCCCCATCCCTGGCAGTGTTGAAGGGCAGGTTGGATGGGGCTTGGAGCAGCCTGGCTTGGTGGGAGGTGTCCCTGCCCATGCAGGGGGGTTGGAACTGGATGAGCTTTAACGTCCCTTCCAACCCAAATCATTCCATGATTCTATGATCACATTACAATAAAAGTAATTAAAACTCAGAAGCCAGATCCTTGGCTGAACAAGGAACATACAGCTCTAACGTGTACACCATTACCTGTTTTCAAAATTATTTATAAAACTTATCTCTATTTCTTCTAAGCACCCTTGGACACCAGCTAATATTCCAAAAATTGTACTTGCAAGATTATCTAAGAGCTGTTTTATTTTATTAAACCCCAGCTTACCTAGAGAAGCTGTAGCTTTTCCTACCACATAAGCTGGCTTGGCATTCCATCTTTCTTTAAGAGATTTTGACCAGGCTGAAAAACATCACATTAAATTGAAGCATGTGGCAACAAAATATGAATGCTAAATCCAAATCTGGACTTCTGTTTGATAGACAAACACAGCAAAGCAATAACAACTAACACTCCACTAAGGATTTCAGCAAATCTGGATGTACAAAATGAATTTTTAATGTATTTTTTCATTGTGCAAATAGCAGTCTACAACATGTTTTTACAAGTCTCATTTGTGTCAACAGTTCTTAGCTGCTTTTTTTAAGTAACATTCTTAATGCACATTTACCCTGTGCCAGATCAGATGCAACTTGCAATGTTAATTTATGTTTTGGCATTAGGAATTTCAAAAAGCATCAAAGCTCATAGGAAAAACCAACACGTAGTACAAAAGGAGATTTAGAAATACAAACTAGTGGTTTAAAATTGAAGGCTTAGGCAAGAAACAAATATAATCTTCTGTGACAACAAATAAAAGGGTAAAAAACTATATCCATGCACTACAGCACTCTATAACACAGCTCATTCTTATACAAGAAAAATATGGAAACTCATTATATTTTACACATACACTAAAAATAAGATATCTGTTCAGAGACCAAAGTAAAATTACTGGGAAATGGTTCCCCTTCTTCAGGCAGTAAGAATGTTATAGAGTATATATTTCTTGGATCCAGCTACCTGATCCTGTCTTAAATCCTGATGGGTCAAAACCAGATCTGTTAAGTCTTTGACTGCTTTGTCTTAAAACATCACAAACTAGTTCCATTCTAGTATTCTTGGAGGGAAAAATTAGAAACAGAAACTACAACAGTAAAAAAAGGTCAAAGGAAACTACTCTAATGAAGGAAAAGGAGAAGATTTATTGCTTTTGAAAGGAACCCAAATGGGAACTTAAGACTAATTTAATTGATTAAAATATGTATTTCAGCAGCTTCCAAAATTTCTAATCAAGACTGAGGATGAACTGTATATTAGAGATTTTATTTGACCAAGAATCCTAAAATGTAGCTTTCTGCTGCTGGAAATGCCAAAATAATCTGCCTCTGTATTTACTGTTTACTCAAGAGTGTAACCTTACTCACTGCACATTAAGTAGCACGACTGCAGCCTAAACATGCAGCAGATACAGCAATGATGCAGTTTAAGTGCACACAGAAACTCAAAGCCAGGAATTACCACTTAGCATAAGAGGAGTTCACAATGATTTGCTGTATCACTGGTATGGCAATTTCTATTTAGCACTCTACAGGCTTCTTACTCATAACTACTCTGATGGCTTTTAGGTATTGCCATTGTTTCCCTGCTTTTTAGCTAAAGCGTAATTCACTTGAGAAACTTTATATTCAAACCAGAAAAATATGTTTTTCTGTAAGACTCCACATGAAGCCCACACAGAAATAAGAGTGGGCACTTTCTGTCTGTAAGGGAGGAAAGGGGTTAGCAAGCGAAACCAGGCACTGCAGCAAAATGCTCCTCATGCATGGGTTTCTGTTTGCAGCTCTTTTTAGCAAAGACAACCACAACTGAAAAAACTGACACTAATTCTAATTAGCACCAAAGGCTCTTTCCTTTAATTTTAACAACATCCTACGTAGTGGAAAACCCAACCCTTAATCCCTTACGTACTCAATTGAGAATAAAGCCTTCATGATGCCCAAAGATCTATGTGATACAGGTATTTTTTTTAAAAGGCAGACTTCAAACACTTAGTGGTGGCTGAAACAAAATTACAAACTTCACAAGATACTGAAATAGAAAGACTAAGGAATATAAATATGCACTTACCTTCATTTTTACTGTTATCTTTCAAACATATCTTAATGGCTTCTAATGCTCTTGGACTGGTAAAAACTAGGCCTCCATAACATTCTGGATGCGAGAGCTACATACAAACAATAAGTAAATAAAACAATTAAGTAAGAGAAAGAATTAAGTTGATAAATTCTTTCTGATCTTATAGAGAACAATACAGTTTAATAAATATCTGAAACTGCAAAGGGCAAGTATTTCACTACTATCATTAGTCAGAGTATTTATAAGGGAGATGAACAACAAATCTCAAATTCAGAACAAAACTTGCACGGATTCTATTAATTCTGAGAATCTTTAGGAAATGACAAGGATTCCTGTCACTGAAATGAGCTGGAAGGACAGGCAAACAACATGGAAGGTATTTAGCAACTTCCTACAGGAGAAACGAATTGTTAATCCAAGTAGCAACACAGAAGATACTACCCAGACAGCTGATTGCCCCCTGTCCCCTCAAGAGACAGAATTTATGTTCAGTGTAAGGGTGAACCTCGAAAATACCACAATACCTGCAACTATCTATAGTCCATCAAACTGTCAATTCTAGCTAACCAACTTAATTCTTTAAAAAGTACAGGCATCCAACTTAATTTTATAAACAATAATGTGCTGTGTTGTATGCAATATGGTATTGTGTACAACTGTGCTTGTGGAAACACACCAAGAGGTATCACAAAGGGCAGCATTACTGAATTAAGATCTTGGCAACCATGGCCTAAATTCTGTTGAAATATAAGACAACTGAAATAATGTAAAGCTTACCTTTTCAAATAAACTTTCAAGAGATATGAATTCAAATGACAGAACTGGAATTAAAGTTGCTTCAAATCCATATTCCCAATTCCTTTTAAAAAAAAAAAAAAAAAAGGTTTTCAGCTCTTGAAATAGATTTCTTGGAACAATTTTTTTTTCTTTTTCAAATAATTGACTAAGTCAGCACCAACATTTATTCTTACTGAAGTAAAATACAGAGGCATCTTGTTTACTTTTACTAGTGAAGCTAGTTTGGTTTTGTTAGTTAATTAGTATTACAAATGAATAGTAAGCTAACAGCTGTGGAACTGAGGCCTCCTATATAGCTACTGAATAGTTGCAGCAGAAACCAACACATAACCTGGTCCTACAGAGGTTCTTGTACATCTCTGTAATTCTTTAAAGTCACTAGAACTGCTTTTATGAGTAGGAACTACTGACATGACTAAACACAACAGCAGACAGGACCACAACACCCAGTAAGAAAGCTAACATTTTTTGTAATCTCAATTCTATCCATTTGAGCATAATCAATATTAATTAACCCAAACGCAAGTGTTTTAATATCAGTACTTTCTGAGAGCTTTAACAGTGGATTCAGCATGAGTGCCCCATAACTAAAAACATTTATTCAGCAACAGTAAATTTTCTAGCATGCTTTTTTCATAATTTCAGACCTGCACTCCTAATTGTGATTAAGCACGTTTTTCACTTTTAACAGTTACATTCATCTACCTTGCTGAACTTATGATACTATTATTTAATAGTGAAGTGACACAACTCAGCATTTTTAGAGTTTACTCACTTTAATATATGGATCTGCTCCTGACTCTTTGTCTCTGGGATCCTTCAGCAACAGAACCTTCATTGTTTACCAAATAACTGCAAAAGAACTCTGAAATACAATAATGAAATTTATCTAAATTAGATCTAGACGACTTTCTACTGAGCAGTGACTTGAATAGCTCAGCTTCAGAGAAACTGGGCTGCAAACAGTTGCACTGCTCTCTATACAATGAGTAAGCAGTTAACGTACATTCTCTGGGCATGAATATCCACCCTGATAAGACCAACAAATAACATGTTGCCTTTAGATAATACTGCTTAAGGGAGGGAGAAACTGTCATGGAAGTCATCAAGAACACATTTTAGAAGAGAACATTTTGTAGAAGTAACAACCCTGATAATGCAGTCATGTTCAACAATGTAAGAAGCTCATACCTATAAAAACTGAATTCATCTCCATGCTAGTTTCCACCCCGTGCTCATCATAATGAATATGAAAAGACTTCTGTATCAAATGATTTAATTTTATGCACCGGGGTCTCACCCTTTTCATGTGAGAAAACAGGTGCAGAGCAGTGTTTTGAATTTAAAAAAAAAACAAACGTATGTATGTATGTATATATATACACATTTATACATCTGAATATAATACATATAATATTCATAGGCCTTCTTTGATGTATTTACAGTAAACAAAGCAAGATAAACAAATATATTATGCCATTAAAATAGTTTGTAGGTCCTTAAAAGTTGACTTAGGTGCTGAATTCAAAGCCTGTTACAACACTTAAGCAAATATACCAAGCATCAAAAAAAAACCAAAACACAAATCCATTCTCTAACCACACATTTGCCCTAATTATCTGTGTTACTTTCCTGATTACATACTTGCAAATTCTCTTTAAAATTAATAATTATCAATATGCAAATGTACAGAACATATTAAATTTTACGCCATGCTCTGAAATCCTCAAAATTCAAAGAGAAAAAAAGCCTGATTTCAAGAGCTAGACTCCCAAATACTTTTGAATATCCAGTTGCTAGTAGCTCAAAGAGGTAGGGATAAGTAACATTTCTCAGTCACTGTAATACTATAAGTCTTCATTTAAAAAAAATAAAATCCTTGTAAAAATCTAGTTTGCTCACAGTTCTTTGTAGCACAGATTGTTGTTTTGATACTGCAGTTACTAACAATTTTTACTACAGCTCTACCTTCAATGCTTATGCTTTAAGTAAGACACACCTGTATTTCTATTAGTTCTCTTAAATGTCTAACAGGGCCAAGAAAAACTGTATTAGCTCTAGCATACCACACCTGCCTATTTCCAAAATATATTATGTTTAATAACATTACTAAGTCCTCAACATACTAATGTAAGAGAAAAAAAAAAAAGTATTTCCAAACTGTATAGCACAAGATAATAATACTTTTTTGAAAGAGCAATTTCCAAAAGTATTGTCATAAACCCTTCCAGGTGCCATGAGAGACTTAATTCAGGTACACCTGGGGAAAGCAGATTTCTAATTAATTACTGTGGGTAGTTAGAAACTAATTAACTTCCCAGCCTATGCCTTATTACTGTGTCAAGTAATGAATAACAATAAGAAACGGGTAAACATTCATGCTTAACAAGGTGACTTTGCGATAATCAAACTAATTATTTTGTTTAGATCCTGCATACAAAATGCACACTAAAACCAAAGCCATCAAATAGCATGAACTACTTCGAGTTGCAATTGCCTGGCTGTCTCCTCTGCAAAGAGATCACGGAAAGCTCTATTTTGGACTCAGCCATCTGGCTCACTTGTAAAAAGATCAAGCCCTGTGCTCCTAGAAGCCATTCCTTTTCAATTCTACTAGAGTGCAGCTTGTTGGTCAACTCCAAAAGGAGGCTGCAAGTGTCCAACAGAAGACAAATTTGACCTAGGGAATCTGTAAGTTTGTGCATTTATGAATAGCATCTATTCTGATCTGCATCTACCCTCTGACTGCTTTTGGTTTTAGGGATCAAAAAATTAAGTCTCCTTTCCTGCAGCCATGAACCTCTCAGACTGTTCTGTTCTGTCTGCCCAGGTAGTTCAGACAGGTTCACAGGGGTTTGGTGACAGGTGTGACCAAAGGAAAACTGGTGGAATAGACCCATTTCCAAATGCCAGGTCACCACACCCAGCACTTCCTGAGCAAGAGTGCCCCACCACCATCAGCACATCACTAGGAATTGGGGCAAAAAAACACCTTCCCGGGCAGGCAGAAGACAGACAAGATCTCAAAGAAGGACACCCACACCAGCACCTTTTCAAACCGACAATACCCCAGTATAGATTCAAAGGGTGAAGGAGTTAGAACTCCACGACGGATTATTTTTGTGGGGAAAAAACACGTAAGAGGAATTTTAATGACTTGCTGCAATGATGCAGGGGTCCCACTGCACTGGTAATGAGAAGAGAAATACACTACTTTTACTGTTTTACTTGTGTCCTTGAGATGTCACTAAGGAGTGCCCTACAAATTACTGAAATGCAATTTTGCAAAGAACCAGCTTCCTGCTAAAAGCACTTAAGAATCAAGAACCCCAACAATCATTCTTATTAAATCAAAGAGTATGAAGAAAAAGCACATGAGTAAGACATGCAGCATCTTTGCTAATTTTTGATGGGAAGAACTTACACAAAGATGTATTTTAGATATCTTAAATATTTTATCTATAAATCATACCATATATTTAATCAAGAGAGGTATGAACAAACTGCAAAACAACAAGTTTCTATCTAGAACAATGAATGGATTTAGCAGAGTCCAGCAACGCTCAATCTATACCTGAAAAAGAGAATAACCTTAGTAAGGTTTCCACTGCCTAGTCTTTGTTTGTAGGATGCTGCTGGCCACCCACTTTTGGCTCATTTAACAAACACTCTGCTTGCCTGAGCACCAATAACAATCCTGCTAAGGCTGCTCTTCACATGTTAGAACAAATACCATTTAAAAGCCATTAGGCTTGCAAACAGCTAATAAGAGGATAACAGATTTTCTGTCTCAAGCACACAGACACAAAGCTAAAGAAAAACTTTATTAGTCAGTCTGAGGGTTGGGAACCATCCAATTAGTTCTGATAACAAATTACAAGAGCGACTGGAGTATCTGAGTCATTACATCAGGACTGAAAGCTAAACTCAGCCTGGTGCTATTTCGCTGAGTCCCCATTAACTGTAAGTCCACTTAATTTAGAAGAAGGGTAATTTTAGGTCACATTGTATATTCAGAGTATTATGCTTACAGATATAATTGAAATGCTTCCTATTCACAGCATCACACAGTAAAATTCAACATCCCTGCACCTTTAATTAAAATATAAAGCTGATCATAATGTGTATCTCTGATAATAGCACTGTAAAATTTCATATTGAAAGAACCTTTGCAGACTATTTTATAAAAAACGTTGTACAGAAAGAAGATCTCTGAGGGTCACTCAACTTCCTTTTCAAAAGCTGTCCTCAAACCAATTGTGAACTATCTTTAATACAGAGGACAGTTTGTAAAAGGAAATAAATGGGTCATTTTGTTTCTTGCTGCTAAGTGACACCAAGAGCTGCAAAATGTATCAAACTTTTCTAATCCCATTCTGATTATAAGCAAATGAATGAGTCACACAATAAGGTTTGATTGCCAAGTGCCAAGGGAATTGTCTGCTCCATCCTAAACATAAAAGGAGATTAATTATAAGGCACTATTGAGAAATTATTTTTTAAAAAACTTCTAAAAAGCCTGGGCTAGAATTTGAGATGCTATGCATTTCTTACCCATATTCTTTTATTATAATTAGATGGCTTTAATCAACAGAGAAGAAAAAAGCCTACCTATAAGGCTGCCATGAAGTATGGTTCAGAAACCTACCAAATTCACAGATAAGGTAACACATGTATCATCAAGTATCAACAACAGATTTGAGAATAAATCCTGCTATTTGGCTGTCTATGTCACAAAGCTCAACAACAAAACTCGTTCTTTGACAAGGTAATCCAGGGGAGCAGCAAAGGACTAGAACCCTTCTGCTATATAATGGATTTTTACCAAAAGCAGTATTAGTAATTAGTACAATTTTTTACTGATACAGTTTCAAGAATAAAATGGAAGACTGTATATATAGATACAGACTGCATCCCCACAGAGGCAGTTTTACTGCAGCAATACAGGGCTTTGCCAATCTTTTTCCACACTGAATTATTTCCCCATGTATCAGCACTCATGTTTTGGCAACGACCTAGGTGCTCCCAGCGCAGACATAGCTCACAAAAAATAATAATAAAAAATAATAAACACAGGCGTGTTTCATGTTTTAAAGGGACATGCAGATTCTGACCTGCTTGGATTGCATTTATAAAGCCAAAATGACATCTCAGGCCCCATGCCTTGCATTTCTTCTCAGTCCTCTTCTTCAAATGACCTCATTAACATCTGCCTTTCTTCACTAACAACTACCTTTCTTCATTAACAACTACCTTTCTTCATTAACTAGACACAAAGACATGGTCTGCCTGAATGAGGCTCCAGCATTAATGGCCACTTCTGTACTTCCAGTGCTTAGATTTTTCCTGACGGGCGTTATTTATAAATCACACTCCCCCTGTGCTGACAGCACTCTGCCTTTTCCGTCCATTTGCCTGGAATTCTCTGTAACTACTCCACGATTTATCTTTTTAAGTAAGCAGCAAGCACTCGATTCCTTTTCTAACTTGGCTGTCAGGAACCTGACTCATGTCACACACTCAGGACAGACCCAGGCCCCAGTCCTGCATCCCAGCCTCTCTTTGGCTTATTTATTTCCCTTCACAACAGGCTCAACCCAAACAGGCCAAGAGCAGAGGCGGGGAGGGCAGGGAAAACGCGAGGGAAACGCTTTTCTTTGAACCCCTGAAGCCCCAGCGGGGCTGGGAGCAGCAACAACTCACACGGATCTCGGATCCCACGGACGCTTTTCATTTCCCCGAATACTCCGCGTCTGCCGAAGCAGCTGAGACCAGCGAGAGGGAACCCTGGGCCTTCCCAGGACGTGTAGGGCCCCTCGGGGACTCTTCACCCGCACCCACCCGGGCCCTCGCAG